AGGCGAGATGCCGCGAGATGCCGCGAGATGCCGCGAGATGCCACGAGATGCAGCGGGAGGCAGCGAGGTGCCTCTTTTTGCAGCAGGATGCCTCATTGTGTGGCTGCTTATGCTGCCTGCTTACGGGTTGGCTTGGAGGGGTCAGGAGTCAGCTTAAGGTTGCTTCAGTTGCTCTCGGCGACGCCCAATGCGTGCGCCGGCGTGGGTAGTGTGCGCGCGCGTGTGTGAGATGAGGATTGTGGCAGGCTGGCTGCTGCTGATGTGGGCAAGTGTGCTCTGTGTGCGGCGCTGCGCTGGCGTGCGATGCGCGCGTGCTGTGCGCGTGTGCGTGTTGGAGTCGCGCGTGAGTCTGCGTGTGCTGCGCGCGCGCCGGCGTGTGCTGTGCGCTGTGCTCTGTTGTGCGCCTGTTTGTGCAGCTTTGAGGCACAGGCTTGGCTGGCAGGGCTGCGCGGTGTGCTGCGGCGCGCTGCGAGTGGTCGCGCGCCTGCCTGATGGTGTACGGCGGCCGCGCAGCCCGCCCGACCGGGTCGTCGGCGGCCCAGGGCGCGAGCATGCGGTCGGCGCTGCATGTGAGGCTGCTGCGCGGCTGGCGCGTATGTTTCCGTGCGGTGAGGGAAGTTATGGGAAACTAAAAAAGAAATCACGGGATGGGTGAAGGTGGGGTACTATACCAACTAAAGTGATGGCTGGTGGTGCTATCCTGCAACCACAGTCCTTCCTGCGACATGGCAGGCCACTCTCAAGCCCTACAAGCACCAGATCAACGACTTGGGGAGGGTTGACATCGTGATTTGCGCGGAAAAATTCTTTTTCTGCTGTGTAAATTCCGGCGTGAGAGAGGGGAAACCCCGACGGGAGGGCTCAGACCCTACCCTACCTACCCCGTCATGATGCCCGGCCAAGCAAAAATAAAATACACCTGGCGAGTGGAAAAGAATTCTTAAAATACAGCCTCTCTCACAGCACACTGGCACGACAAGGGCGCGGACTGGCGCGGACTGGCACACACACCGGCTCACCACCGGAGCCGCCTAAGCGACTCCGTTAAGAACGGCAATGCACTCCGCACCATGCACAATGCCGCTCTCCCCGCACGCTAGCTCGTTCACCGTCTGCCACGCCACAGCGGTGTGGAGGACGACCGACAAACGCTGCATGTGGAAAGTGGAAAAGAATCTTCACGCGTGCTCGCAGAGTGGAAAAGACTTTCCCTCGCACTGGTTTGTTTTTCTTCTTTTCTTTCCTGCTCCCAGGATGAAAGTATTTGATGTCCGTCGGGCGACCGAGGACGTTCGGACCGCCCCCCCCTCCGCCCCTGTCTAGCCTCGGTCGGCCTGAATGCACAACATCCATCCGTCCACAACCAATTGGTAGAGCACACCTCGTCTCTGCGCCGCAGTGGCTGCGTGACGGGCGAGCTCCCAGTGGGATCGCTTGTGAGTTCGTCACCGCGTTCAGGGTACCCCGGAAAAAGTTGGAACCGTGATCGTGCCCCCCGTCGGCATGATCGGTTGGACCGCAGATGACGATGCGCTCGTCAAGGCGGGCCGCGAGGCCGGGGAGAGCTGGGCCGACATTGCCAAGCGCCTGCCCGGCCGCAGCACCGACTCCGTCAAGAGCCGGTCAAAGCGGCTGAAGCGGCAGCCCGACGCGCCCGTGAAGCACGAGCCCGTGAAGCACCAGCTCGTGCGGTGGACTGCAGCGGACGATGCGCTTCTCAAGGCGGGCCACGAGGCCGGGGAGAGCTTGGTCGACATTGCCAAGCGCCTGCCCGGCCGCAGCGCGGAGTCCGTCATGAGCCGGTCAAACCGGCTGAAGCGGCAGCCCGACGCGCCCGTGAAGCACGAGCCCGTGAAGCACCAGCTCGTGCGGTGGACTGCAGCGGACGATGCGCTTCTCAAGGCGGGCCACGAGGCCGGGGAGAGCTGGGTCGACATTGCCAAGCGCCTGCCCGGCCGCAGCGCGGAGTCCGTCAAGAGCCGGTCAAACCGGCTGAAGCGGCCGGCCGACAAAAGCGCAGGCGGCGCCGCCGCGCAGGTGGCCACGGTCGCCCCGCGTCCTCTGGATGCGCAGACCAGCAGATGCCCATGTTTCACCCCTTGGGTGACGTGGGCTACGTGCTCTCCACGCCCGCTGAAGGCCGCGCCTCTCCCCCTCCTCCCTCAGGCCAAGTCCAAGAAGGCGCCGCCCAAGAAGGCCGCCCAGGACAGCGCAGGCGGCAGCGCCTCCCCCAAGGAGGCAACCTGGGTCACGAGCGTCCTGTCTGGATCGCTTAGACCCGTAGATGCACCCACCACTGCAGTCACCTCGCTGAGGTGCTTGGTTCGCGCGCCCACCGCCGCCGCCCGGCTCAGGGCCGCGCGCACTTCCCAAACGTAGATGGCGGCGGCAAGGCTGCAGCGGCAGACGCGGCGGATGCAGAGGCTGGTCCTGCGGAAGGCGCGCGAGGAGCTCAACGACGGCTATTCCGACGAGCAGCGGCTCGACCTCGCCGCCTCCGAGGCGCGGAAGCTCGCAGACTGGGGCGAGCAGCTCTTTCGCAAGGCGCTGCGGACTCACCCTCCCCCGCCACAGTCCGATGCGCCGCGGGCTCACCCTTCTCCCCGTGTACCGCCAGGACGTGGACGGCGCGTGCTACATCATGACCGGCGGCTACGAGCGGATGAAGCCCCCTCCCTGGAATGCGCGCGGCGGGCGAGCGTACTTCAAGTGGGAGGTGATCGGGCAGTGCCTTTGCCGGGGCTACGGCTCATACTTGCTCTACTGCGGCCGGCCGGCAAAGGCGCACGAGATCGAGGACGCCGACCGGAAGGGGTGCCCTCGGGCGAGCCCCCCCCCCCCCCC